AAACCCTAAAGCCTAAAGCCCAAAAAGCCCTAAACCCCAAAAACCCTAAAACGCCTACACCCCTAAACCCTAAACCCTAAAAACCCTCAAAAACCCTAAAACCCTAAACTTCCCTAAAACCCTAAACGCCTAAACCCCAAAACCCCAAAACCCGAAAAAACCGTAAAACCCCTAAAAACCCTAAAACCCTAAACGCCAACTCCCTAAACCCCTAAAACCCCCCTAAAACCCTAAACCCTAAAACCCCTAAAAACCCTAAAAGCCCTAAAACCCTAAACCCTAAAACCCTCTAAACCCGAAAAAAACCCGAAAAAACCCTAAAACCCAAAAAAAAAACCCTAAAACTCCCAAAAAAACCCTAAAACTCCTAAAAACCCTAAAAACCCTATTTTGGGTGGGCCTTCGGCTCCCGGCTTCAGGTAGCGGATGATGTTCTCGTAGAGGGTCACCTGGGAAGACCCGAAAAAACTCCAAAGGGGTCTCGAAGGGTGTAGGGTTTAGGGTTTAGGGGTCTAGGGTTGTAGGGTTTAGGGTTGTAGGGTTTAGGGTTGTAGGGTTTAGGGGCTTCGTAGTTTAGGGTCTAGGGTTTCAGGGTTTAGGGTCTAGGGTTTAAGGGTTTAGGGTTGTAGGGTTTAGGGTCTAGGGTTTAGGGGCTTAGTAGTTTAGGGTCTATAAGGTTTTAGGGTTTTAGGGTTGTAGGGTTTCGGGTTTAGGGTTTAGGGTTTAGGGGTTTAGGGTTTAGGGTTTAGAGCTTTTCCTTTCAAGGGTTGCCTCTGTAAGGGTGGTGTTCGGGTTACTTAAAGGATCAGGGAACTTCGGGCCCCTTATGAGGGGATCTATAAGTGTGGTTTAGGGTTGCTCAAAGAGGTTCCTCTAAAGGGTACGATAAGGTTGACTACAAGGTGTACCACATGGGTGCACTATACTTAAAGGATCATGGGACGTAGTAGCTAAGGTTCCACCAGGGGCTCCTTAAAAGCGATTTCACAACTCTGACGGTTCTAGAAAGGTTCTATAAAGGGGGTGTTCAGGGTTACTTAAAGGATCATGGGACTTAGTAACTAGGGCTATGATTGGGGCAGCTGTACTTATGATCATCACTTATAACCGCAATTAGGGTACTCATCCTACCGAAGCAGTGTGGGGTCTTGGGGTTTGAGGTTTAGGGCTCTGAGTTTAGAGTATGAGGCTTGAGGCTTGTTGATTGGGGTTCTGGGTTTGGGGTTGCAGGTTTTGGGTTCCCCCGACGAAGGCAGACTCCTTCTGCCGCACTCGTTTTACAAACCCGGCGCCGAAATATACTAGTAGTAGTAGTAGTAGTAGTAGTCGTCGTACTAGCAGTAGTAGTAGTAGTAGTAGTCGTCGTCGTCGTCGTAGTAGTAGTAGAATGTACCCCAAAACCCCATACAAATCAATAAGACCCCCTGCTTTAATGGAACCCTGTAAAGATCCCACCCGGCGCCTGGATGCCCGATGCCGGCAGGGACTTGTCCAGCGCGCAGACCCTCTCGGCGAGCGAGGACCTCGAAAGCGGATCATACCTGGGCTGATCTTAGTATCGTTATTATCATAAATATTAGCGTTAGTATTATCATTAATATTCGTATCATCATTATTACAATTGTGATCAGCATTATTGGTAGTAGTATTACTATTATCAGTCTTATTGGTGTCTTCAAATGGCTCTGGTAGGGTTCTACGGGTTGTACACCTGCGCTGACCTGAGCAGCTTCAGGAAGCTTGTCTTTGTGGGTACTTGGAGGATCATGGGACTTAGTAAGTACGATTGTAAGTACCTTAATCGGGGTTATAAGTAAATATATGTATAGCTACCCTAATAATAACCCTAGTTATTAAGTCCCTTGATCCTTTAAGTATTGCTTTGTTGGAACTTAGATAGATGTCCACATAGTAAACGATATAGAACAGATGCTACCAACTACATGCTTCGTGCTTCGTTTGTGATACATTCCTATATAAGTCATACCGCAGTCTTCTCAGTTCTGCATAGCCTAGACAGTTTAGGTTTAGAGAAACAAACCAATTTAGCAGATGAATAGGCGATTAAACAAAACAAGGAAGCTAAACAGATAAGTACGGAAATAAGTTAACTGCACCATCACAACTGACATGAGCAAAGACAGACGGGCGTGAACAAACACATCAATCATAACTGTATGCATGTATATGGCACTGTATGATCCACATTGTCACATTGTGATAACACACTACATAAGATCAGATTAGATTCGACTAGATTCGATTCGACTAGATGAGGCTACATTAGGTTATGTTAGGTGCAGGTATCGTATTGTGCAATCACATTGCCATTTGGGTCATGTGACAACTTGTCACCAAGGTTATATACATACATATGTATGTATGTATGTATGTATGTATGTATGTACGCACGTAGGTAGGTAGGTAGGTAGGTAGGTAGGTAGGCAGGCAGGTGTGCATGTGTATGTATGTATGTATGTAGGTAGGTAGGTAGGTAGGTAGGTAGGTATGGATGTATGCATGTACGTATGTATGTTTGTATGTATGCATGCATGCATGTATTAATGTATGCATGCGTGTCCTGTGTGTGCATATAATACATATATATATATAATAAAGAGAAAAATAAAAAGAAGAATAAGAGTACTAATATTAATGTGTATATATATATATTATAATATAATGTGGTGTAGTATGGTGTGGTATGACATAATATAATATAATATAATATAATAGAATATGATATAATATAGTCTATAATATATAATGGAATATCATATAACATAATATCATATAATACAACAAAATATAGTATATGTGCTTTGCATAAATCTATCTATATATATATATACATACGTATACAATGTGTATTAGCCTATGTAACTCTATACTAGGCTGTCTTACATAATAGCATATTCTATTGTTCTATGATATAGTGTTTGTGCAATACTACACTATATTATACTATATGGAACCATACTCTACTTTGTTACACTACATCAGTCTACCATATTCTGCCACATTCCATTACATTGTATTGGAACACACGTTAGTATATTCTGGTAGAGTATACCGTGGCGAAACCTGTTATGTGTATTCTCTTCGGGACCAGTACAGTCTAGTCTGGTATAGTCGAGTATACCCTAGCATGGTCTAGCATACTCTCGTCTAGTGTCGGATAGTAAAGCTATGTCATGGTTTGTTACATTAAGTAATACTAGTCTACATGATGGTACAGCATAAAATGTCGTATGTTATTACTGTTCATTTAATTTGAGGTTCATTTACCTGATGTCATTACTGTGTGAGACTACATAGTCCTATACTTACTATAGAGCCTTGTGTTCGATTATCGGCACTCTGCAGTCTTGTATTTGAGAACAGTTCCCCTAAACCCCTGAACCGTAAAACCCTAAAACCCAAAAACCCTACAACCCAAAAACCCTAAAACCCAAAAAACCCAAAAACCCTAACACCTCAAAACCCTCTAAAGCCACTCAGGGCACTGGTTCAGCGCGTGGCCGGCGGAGCGACGCCAGCGGAAGGCGTCCCGGACCGTGTCTTCCTGGTCCGTTTGTTGTCGAAGTCTTCGGGTCTTGGGGTTTAGGGTCTTGGGGTTTAGGGTTTAGGGTTTAGGGTTTAGTTATTTAGGGTTTAGGGTTTAGGGTTTAGGGTTTAGTTATTTAGGGTTTAGGGTGTAGGGTCTTGGGGTTTTGGGGCATAGGGTTGAGGGCTTCTGACCTGTTGTTGCTTCGAATTTCAGAGCGTTTAGGGCTGGGGATTTGGGGGCTGGGGTTCAGGGTTTGAGGCTTGGCGGTGCGGGTGTCTTGAGGCATAGTGTCGGTAATCAGGGGTTGCTAGGGCCGTGGAACACAAGTCAACAAGCCCAGTTTCGTCCACTTCGGGCGTCAGGAAGTTGTACCAAGCGATGCCGGTAAAGACCTAAGAGGAACGCCAGGAGAGTTTGGTGCACCAGAGCAGCCAAGAGAGGCTTAAAGGGAGGTTGGGGTTTAGGGGCTTAGGGTTCGGTTTAGGGCGAAAACCCGCCCGAAAATGCCGCGAGTGGCGATCTGCATGGTCATGCTGACCACGGCGAGAAGGAAGGTCTGGAGGGAGCCGAGCGGACCCAGCGCACCTCAGCTCAACCCCGGAAACTCAGCGACGGTGGCTTTCTATCGCATTCTGCTTTCTGCTGTGGCGCCCGTTCCGATGAACAGGAAGAGGTCCCACGTGGACTCCCCGAAGCGGTAGTACTCCTGCGTCTGGACCTGAGCTGCACGACCCCTGCAGCACTGCAGACAAATCCGTGCACTTCAAGTTCGCTGTGTGAGGAGCTGTTTAGCCGAAACCCTGCGACCCAACCTGCCGGCGATGAAAGACCCAACGGGCGAACACGATTCTGACAGCCTCTTGCTCTTGCACCCCAACTCCGTCATAGGCACCTCTCTCATCCGTTGCTAGGTCTGTCAAACGTTTTTGCAAGCACGCTGGGGTCTGCGATCGTGCCAAGAAACATCCAGCACCTTCTCATCCACATGGTCCACGCTCGGCATCGTGATTCGACGCCGAAGCTTATCCGAAGAATCAGGGGTCGGCTGCGGGTCACACCTCCCAAAGGGCAGATCCAAAGCCTGTCCCTTCACCTTCCTTGCCTTGCTTCTCTCTATGCGCGTTCCGTGCCCTGGAAAAGTGAGGTTCGCCTCGAACTCCAGAGCGGACCCTCTCTCCACGGCAGCCAAGGAACGTGGACTTGCTCTTCTGAGAGTCAGCCGTCCAGGACTCGCTTGGGCCCGATTCGAGCTCGTTGGACTCACATATCTCCTCGACCTCGGATGGGTTTAGGGCTTTGGGTTCAGGGGTTTAGGGGTTTAGGGGTTTAGGGTTTAGGGTTTCATGGGACACCACGGCGCGCGGTGAAACGCGCCAAAGCTTCTGGGGAAAACTGAAGCTTCCAGCAGAGCTGTCGCAAGATGCACGATGCCGCTAGAGTTACTAAACAGAACAATAGTAATAACAATAATAACACTGACAATAATAACAATAACAAATAATCATAATGATAATAAAAATAATAATACTAATAATAATAGTATTAACAATAATAACAATAAGAATAACATGAATATTAAGAATAGTACTAACCAAAAGTAGTAGTAGTAAGAAGAAGAAGAAGAAGAATCCCCTAGCAACCCTAAACCCTAAACCCCTAAACCCTAAACCCCTAAACCCTAAACCCTAAACCCCTAACCCCTAAACCCTAAACCCTAAACCCATTTCCGGCAGAGCTGCCCCGAAAGTGAAGCGCACCTCCGCCATCTCCAGCTCCTGCAAACAAAGGAGCCGAAGGCGAAAAGATCCCTTTTTTTAGGATCCTCTTGGGGTTTGGAGTTTAGGGCTTATAGGGTTTAGGGCTTAGGGTTTAGGTTTTTAGGATCCTCTTAGGGTTAGGGCTTAGGGCTTAGGGTTTTAGGGTTTAAGGCCTTTCACCGCGAAAGCCCTTCCTTCGAAGCCCCTTCCTCCTCCGGGGTTTGGGGTTTTGGGGCTTGGGGCTTCGGGTTTAGGGCTTAGGGTTTAGGGCCCTCAAACCTTCCTTCGAAGCCCCTTTTGCCCCCCGTCGCGCCGCCTCCGTGGCTTTCGCCAGGTTGCTCACCTCCGCCAGCCGTCCGTTCGACTCAGAGATCCTGGGTTGGGGTTATGGGATGCATCATTTAAGTTACCATAATAAGGGTCCTTGTGGGATTTATAGGTTAAGTTACCATAATAAGGGTTCTTGTTATGGGATTTAATTAATTGAGGGTTTAGGGTATAGGGTTCTTGTTAAGGGATTTATAGTTTAAGTTACCATAATAAGGGTTCTTGTTAAGGGATTTACTTAATTCAGGGTTTAGGGTTTAGGGTTCTTGTTAAGGGATTGAATTAGTTTAAGTTACCATAATAAGGGACCCATAGTATACTATAGACCCCCATTAAGGGATTTATTAAATCCAGGGTTTAGGGTTTAGGGTTTAGGGCGGATTTAGAGTTTAAGCTACCATAATAAACAGAACCCATAGTATATATGCAATATAGATCCCGAAAAAAGGCAACTCAAACTTAAGCATCCCTTAACAAGAGCCCAGGATCTCATAGTATGTACTATGGATCCCCATTAGGGCAACCCTAAACCCTAAACCCCTAAACCCCCTAAACCCCTAAACCCCCCAAACCCTCAACCCCTAAACCCCTAAACCCTAAAACCCTAAAACCCCTAAACCCCTAAA